GAAATAAAACGAGAAGGCAAGATTAGAGAAAAAAAGCACAAAAAGGAATGAACAAAGTCTCCAGGAAATGTGGGACTATGTGAAGAGACCTAATCTGCGTTTGATAAGTGAACCTGAATGTCACGAAGAGAATGCATCCAAGCTGGAAAATACTCTTCAGGATATTATCCAGGAAAACTTCCCCAACCTAGCAAGGCAGGCAAATATACAAGTCCAGGAAATACAGAGAACACCACAAAGATATTCCTCAAGAGGAGCAACCCCAAGGCACATAATCATCAGATTCACCAGGGTTGATATGAAGGAGAAAATGCTAAGGGCAGCCAAAGAGAAAGGTCGGGTTACCCACAAAGGGAAGCCCATCAGACTCACAGCAGATCTCTCGGCAGAAACCCTACAAGCCAGAAGAGAGTAAGGACCAATATTTGACAATCTTAAAGAAAAGAACTTTCAACCCAGAATTTCATATCCAGCCAAACTAAGCTTCATAAGTGAAGAAAAATAAAATCCTTTGAGAACAAGCAAGTAATCAGAGATTTTTGTCACCACCAGACCTGCTTTAAATAGTGGGAGACTTTAACACTCCACTGTCAATATTAGACAGATCAACCAGACAGAAAATTAACAAGGATATCCAGGACTTGAACTCAGACCTGGAACAAGCAAACCTGATTGACATTAACAGAACTCTCCACCCCAAATTGACAGATTATACATTCTTCTCAGCACCACATCACACCTGCTCTAATATGGACCAAATAATTGAAAGTAAATCACTCCTCAGCAAATGCAAAAGAAAAAAAATTATAACAGTCTCTCAGACCACAGTGCAATCAACTTAGAACTCAGAATTCAGAAACTAACTCAGAACTGCACAGTTTCGTGGAAACTGAACGACGGGCTTTTGAATGTTGACTAGATAAACAATGAAATGAAGGCAGAAATAAAGAAGTTCTTCGAAACCAATGAGAACGAAGACACAACATACTAGAATCTCTGGGACACATTTAAAGCAGTCTCTAGAAGAAAATATATAGCAATAAGTGCCCACATGAGAAGAGTGGAGAGATCCAAAATGGACACCCTATCGTCAAAATTGAAAGAGCTAGAGGAGCAAGATCAAAAAAACTCAAAACTTAGCAGAAGAAAAAAAATAACTAAGATCAGAGCAGAACTGAAGGAGAGACATGAAACACCCTTCGAAAAATCAGTAAATCCAGGAGCTGGTTTTTCGAAAAGATCAACAAAATATACAGACCACTAGCCAGATTAATAAAAAAAAAAGAAAGAAAGAGAATAACCAAATAGATGCAATAAAAAACGATAAAGGGGAAATCACCACAGATCCCACAGAAATTCAGACCATCATCAGAGAATACTACAAACAACTCTATGCACATAAACTAGTAATCCTGGAAGAAATGGATAAATTCCTGAACACTTGCATCCTCCCAAGCCTAAACCAGGAAAGAAGTCAAAACCATGAATAGACCAATAACAAGATCTGAAGTTAGTCAAAAATTAAGAGCCTACTACACACAAAAAGCCTAGGTCCAGATGGGTTCACAGCCAAATTCTACCAGACACACAAAGAGGAACTGCTACCATACCTCCTGAAACTATTCCAAATAATCTGAAAAGAGGGAATCCTTCCCAAATCATTTTATGAGACCAACATCATCCTGATACCAAAACCCGGCAGAGACTCAACAAGAAAAGAAAACTCAGGCCAATATCCATGATGAACAGAGATGCAAAAATCTTCAATAAAATACTGGCTAGCCGACTGCAACAGCACATCAAAAAGCCTATCTACCATGATCAAGTAGGATTCATCCCGGGGATGCAAGGCTGGTTCAACATACGCAAGTCTATAAACGTAATTCACCACATCAACAAAATCAAAACCAAAACCACATGATTATCTCAATTGATGCAGAGAAGGCCTTTGACAAAATTCAACAGCCCTTTATGCTAAAAACACTCAATAAACTCGGTATTGATGAAACGTATCTCAAAATAATATAAGCTATTTACGACAAACCAACAGCCAATATCATACTGAATGGAAAAAAACTGGAAGCATTCCCTGTGAAATCTGGCACTAGACAAGGATGCCCTCTCTCACCACTCCTATTGAATATAGTACTGGAAGTTCTAGCCAGAGTAATCAGGCAAGAAAAAGAAATGAAGTGTATTCAAATAGGAAAGGAGGAAGCCAAATTGTCTCTATTTGCAGATGACATGATAGTATATCTAGAAGACCCCATCATCTCAGCCCAAAATCTCCTGAAACTGATAAGCAACTGCAGCAAAGTCTCAGGATACAAAATCAATGTGCAAAAATCACAAGCATTCCTATACACCAATAACAGACTTAAAGAGAGCCGAATCAAGAATGAACTGCCATTCACAACTGCTACAGAGAGAATAAAATACCTGGGAATACAACTAACAGGGAATGTAAAGGACCTCTTCAAGAAGAACTACAAACCACTGCTCAATGAAATAAGAGAGGATACGAACAGATGGAGAAACATTCCATGTTCATGGTTAGGAGGAATCAATATTGTGAAAATGGGCATACTGCCCAAAGTAATTTACAGATTCAACACTATCCCCATCAAGCTACCAATGACCTTCTTCACAGAACTGGAAAAAACCACTTTAAATTTCATATGGAAGAAAAAGAGAGCCTGCATGGCCAAGTCAATCCTTAGTAAAAAGAACACAGTGGGAGGCATCACACTACCGGACTTCAAACTATACTACAAGGCTACAGTAATCAAAACAGCATGGTACTGGTACCAAAACAGAGATATAGACCATGGAACAGAACAGAGGCATTGGAGGCAACACAATATATCTACAACCATACAATCTTTGATAAACCTGACAAAAACAAGCAATGGGGAAAGGATTCCCTGTTTAATAAATGGTGTTGGGAAAACTGGCTAGCTATGTGCAGAAAGCAGAAACTGGACCCCTTTCTGACACCTTACACTAAAAGTAACTCCAAGTGGATTAAAGACTTAAACATAAGACCTAACACCATAAAAACCCTAGAAGAAAATCTAGGCAAAACCATCCAGGACCTAGGAGTAGGCAAGGACTTCATGACTAAAACACCAAAGCATTGGCAACAAAAGCCAAAATAGACAAATGGGACTGAATTAAACTCCACAGCTTCTGTATGGCAAAAGAAACAGTCATTAGAGTGAATTAGCAATGAACAGAATGGGAAAAATTTTTTGCAGTTTACCCATCTGACAAAGGGCTGATATCCAGAATTTACAAAGAACTAAAATGGATTTACAAGAAAAAAACAAACAAGCCCATTCAAAAGTGGGCAAAGGATATGAATAGACACTTTACAAAAGAAGACATATATGAGGCCAACAAACATATGAAAAAATGCTCATCATCACCTGTCATTAGAGAGATGCAAATCAAAACTACATTGAGATACCAACTCATGCCAATTAAAATGGCGATCATTAAAAAATCTGGAGACAACAGATGCTGGAGAGGATGTGGTGAAATAGGAACACTTTTACACTGCTGGTGGGAGTATAAATTAGTTCAATCATTGTGGAAGACAGTGTGGCGATTCCTCAAGGACCTAGAAATAGAAATTCCATTTGACCCAGCAATCCCATTGCTGGGTATATATCCAAAGGATTATAAATCGTTCTACTATAAGGACACATGTACACGAATGTTCACTGCAGCACTGTTTACAATAGTAAAGACCTGGAACCAACCCAAATGCCCATCGATGATATACTGGACTGGGAAAATGTGGCACATATACACCATGGAATATTATGCAGCAATCAAAAACGATGAGTTTGTGTCCTTTATAGAGACATGGATGAACCTGGAGAACATCATTCTCAGCAAAGTCACACAAGAACAGAAAATAACACCGCATGTTCTCACTCATAGGCGGGTGTTGAACAATGAGAACTCATGGGCACAGGGATGGGAGCACTACACACTGGGGTCTGTTGGGGGGAATAGGGGAGGGACAGTGGGGTGTGGGGTGTTAGGGAGCGATAGCATGGGGAGAAATGCCAGATATAGGTGAAGGGGAGGAAGGCAGTAAATCACACTACCACGTGTGTACCTATGCAACTATCTTGCATATTCTTTACATGTACCCCAAAACCTAAAATGCAATAAAAATATATATATACAAAAAGAAAATATGTTGAAAAAAAATAGAGCACTCTAAAGTATCAAACTATGAAATGAATGTCAAGTTGTACTCAATAGGTAATTTATATTAAGTGCATATATTAAAAAATGAAGACTAAAAAGAAGATTCAAGAAGATAGAAGAAAAAGTAGAAAAAAAAATTAAAAGGGTAAAAATGAATAAAACAAAAAAGCATATAACATAATCCCAAAGGGAAATTATTCTAAAAAGGAAAAAGGTGACTAATATACGTTAGGCAACCAAAATGTGCCACAGCATGTTGCTATACACTATTATCCTTGAGATAGATAATATACTAAAATCACTATATGTTAAATTTCTAATGACAGGCAAAATCTACTTATAAAGAAACATTTCAGAAAGTAACTCTTAACATCCAAAAGGTAGTTTTAAAATAATACTGATAAATATTAATATTTATTAGTACCCCCCCAAAATTGTACGGATTAACTCATTTATTTTTAAATCTCAAGTTCCTCATTAATCAAATTGTACAAAAGGAAAAATCTAGAAAGGTACCTAACTAGAGATCTTAGCAATAACTATCAGGTAACTATCAAATAACTCGCTAGCTACTACATGCAAACATGCTACATGAAGCAACCAGTCTCCAAGAGCCTTTTACCTTAAAACTAGATAAACTAAATAGAAAAGAATGATGTATTTGGGTATATTTTAACTTTTTTCAAGTGATCCAAAGAACCAAGGAGAGACGAAAAGGTAAATAATTCAAAGTGCTTTTTCCATAGACTATTCACCTGTAACTTAATCCTACTTACATCATTAGACTTGCATTTTTCCTTGTGAGAATATATAGTCCATTCCAAAAGCATATTTACTGGTTTGGTCAAAAGCCCGGAGGTTTCACTTCCTGACCAAAAAATTTCAAGAAGCATTGCCTTTCCTGTTATTTTCAGACTCTGAGAATCTGACCAGTCATACAATCTAATTAAAATATAAACAAAAAGGATATCTTTATGCCAATTTGATCATGACAATTATTTGACATTGCTATTAAAAAAATGCTACCAATTTTTGAACACATCATAAAATATAAAGATTATAACAATTATAATCATTTTTATGCTTAATAATAAGCAGGAACAAAACTTGTTGTAGACTCAGTGTTTAAAATTGGTGTCGTTTTTTACTTAGGCATTCAATTACTAAAGATTTTTTTTTTAAATCCTAAAAAATTAAAACACTCTTATCTATCCAAATGAATAGAGGAAGTGAACTGAAGAAATTTTTTAAAGGGGCATAAACCTTCACTCACACTGAGAATATCTGGAAATATGTTTTAAAAATAAATCTACTTTAAAATAGAAAACAAGGTGACTTTTTAGATATATATGTAAAATAAGTCTAAAAAATGGTGCATAGAAACAAAAGAAATTGGCCAGGCGTGGTGGCTCATGCCTGTAATCCCAGTACTTTGGGGGGCCAAGGTAGGCGGATCACAAGGTCAGGAGTTCAAAACCAGCGTGGCCAATACAGTGAAATCCTGTCTCTACAAAAAATACAAAAATTAGCCAGACGTGGTGGCAGATGCCTGTAATTCCAGCTACCCAGGAGGCTGAGGCAGGAGACTTGCTTGAACCTGGGAGGTGAAGGTTACAGTGAGCCAAGATGGCACCACTGCATTCCAGCCTGGTAACAGAGAGAGACTCTGTCTCCCCACCCCTCCCAAAAAAAAAAAGATATTTAGATAAATGTGATTTTTGTGATTAAAACTTACTTTTGACTCAGATGTTGTACTTCACTTTCAATTAAATTAAAGAAAAATTTGAGCAGTGTCAGGTGGAGCACCTTAGAGCCAATATTTTCTGAAATCTGATGACAAAAACTTTCATTGAAAAGGCAGGACCTGAAAAACATGAACCCAACAATCTATAACATACAAGCAATTCACTAAGTAACTTGTGAACGAAATATTTCTCCTTCTAGAATACTGCTGGAATTTTAATAAAATTTTCTTAAAATATAAAGCAAGTTCAACAAAATTTCATTAATATTCATTCCTTCAAAAATTAAATGTCAAATATCTCATGACTACTTAATTCTTAATAAATACATCTAATTTCTCAATGTCAATTGATTATAATATTTAACAATTATCAGGTACTCTCTCTTTGTACTCTTTTTGATGAAATTTATGATTCTTTGTACTCATTAGTGAAAACAAAGAATCGTAAATTTCATCAAATCCTTTTGATTTAAATGACCAGCTAACCTCTCAATTTACAATACTGGCCAGAATCCTTCTCTTTCTTACCCAAGATTACTTCTTCATTAGTAAATGAAGACTATTTAAGGCTACTCTTTTACCGTTTTATAAATTCACTATTTTACTGTCTTCTAGAGTAGTCCTTTCCAACTGAACTTTCTGTGATGATGTACACGTTCTACTAGACACTTGAAATGTGGCTTGTATACCAGAGGACCCATATTTTTAATTACTTAGTCTAAATCAAATTTAAATATAAATAGATATGGCTAGTGGCTACTGGGTCAGACAGCACAGTTCTACCCAATTTTTTTTTTTTTTGAATTGGTAGATGGGGTTTCACCACGTTGGTTAGGCTGGTCTCGAATGCCTGACCTCAGGTGATCCACCCATCTTTGCTTCCCAAAGTGCTGGGATTACAGGCATGAGCCACTGCACCCGGCCTACCTGGCTAATTTTTAAGTATTTTGTAGAGATGAAGTCTCCCTGTGTTGCCCAGGCTGGTCTCAAATTCAAGAAATCCTCCTACCCTGGCCTCCCAAAGAGCTGGGAATACAGGAATGAGCCATCATGCTCAGTCATAGTTATCCCTTAAAATGCAACTCAGCTGCCACTTTCTTACTCTTATCCTTTCCTTTGAGTTAAATTTGTCATTCACATCAGGCCTACGACTTTCTTAAGATAGGTGCTCAGTGTGGTTTTCTTTTTCTTTTTTTTTCACTTCCCTCTTACAAAAGGTGTTCAGTCTTAAATATCTCCATCTTTAATATCTAATATAATGCCTTGAATGTAAGTGCTTAAAACATGTTTGGATGAATTTACTGATGCTACAAGGAGATAGATTTTGGGCAGCTTCAAAATAGACTTTTAAACAAAAATACCCAGATTTCATATCAAAATATTTGGGTGCTGGGGAGGTGCTTAAGGAAGTAGTAGCAATATAAATGAGCTAAGTGATACTAGTCCCTCTACTTTTGTATGTATTTGAAATATTCGATAATACAGAGAAACTTAACATTCTCTATCTCTGACAGTTCTCATAAAGACTGATTAACTATGTGGGCATGAAGGATCTTATAGAACAGATTGAATATTAAATAGAGGGGAGGGGAGGGGAAGGGAGGGGAAGGGAAGGGTGAAGCAAAGCAGCCAGGCATGGTGGCTCATGACTTTAGTCCTAGTACTTTGAGAGGCTGAGGAGGGCAGATAGCTTCAGCTCTGGTGTTGGAGACCAGCCTGGACAACATGGTGAAATCCCATTTCTACAAAAAATACACAACTAGCCAGGCATGAAGGAACACGCCTGTAGTCCCAGCTATCCAGAAAGCTGAGGTGGGAGGATCACCTGAGCCTGGGAGTTTCAGGCTGCAGTGAGCCATGATCGTGCCACTGCACCCCAGTCTAGGCAACGGAAATTAGGAAAACATGAGCAAAAGTTAGGATATGGAAAATAATGACTGGACACATTTAGGAAAGTGGTGAAGATGAGAACTGAGACATACATAAAGGCTAACTCATGAAGGGTCTTATGTATTTTGCTAAGAAATTTGAACTGTCTTCTATAAGTAGTTCAATATATGTGAGTCAATGAAGTACTTCAATATTGGAAACAACAAGATCACTTTGAAAAGAGCATACTGGGGGTTCGTTGGAAGAAAAATTAAAGGGAAAAAAGGTAAACCCAAGATGGATAAAGTAGCTGCTGCAGTAGTTAACATAATGGGATGCTGCAGTAGTTTATGTTATGCCATGGGAACTTTAAAATAAAGGCATTTGACAGTAAAGGGAGGTATAGATTTGGAAATTATGAAGGATGTCAGCCACATAAAGTCTATTTCCTCATATCATATACCTATGCTGGGCTCATACTGTTGGGCTTGTACTTTTGTGCTGGTATTATATTTATATCTCAGTCACTTTCAAAGTACAGGAACTGTTATTTTAATGATCTTTTTATCCCTGAAATGTAGAGTACAGTGCCAGGCTCTCCATAAGTATTCAAGCATTTGTTGAAAAAAATGATGCATGCTGGCTAACTGATTAGCTCACTTCGAATATATCAAAATCAAGATGGAATGTGAATCTTTATGATCTCAAAGAGCTAACCAGAGGTCTAGCCTTTGCATGGCTAGTCAGGTGTCCTTTCTCTCTTCACTATGGACCTCCTGAAACTGGACACTCGGATTAAAAAAAAAAAAATCTTCCCAGGCTGGTGTGGTGGTTCACTCCTGTAATCCCAGCATTTTGGGAGGCCAAGGCAGGCAGATCACTTGAGACCAGCAATTCGAGACCAGACTGGACAACAAGCAAAACCCCATCTCTACTTAAAAAAAAAAAAAGAAAAGACAAAAATTAGCTAGGCGTAAAGGCACACGCCTGTAATTCCAGCTACTTGGAAGGCTGAGGCATAAGAATTGCTTGAGCCTGGGAGACAGAGGTTGTAGTGAGCTGAGATCAGGCCACTGCATTCCCGCCTGGGTGACAGAGCAAGAGTGTCTCAAAAAAAGAAAAGATCTTCCCAGAAGAATAAGGGCTATCAAATATAGTTATTTTAGTAGCAAGAGAAAAACATTTTCTGTTAGGGAGAAAGAAGGTGAAACAGAAAGAATTTCTGGAGACAATAACATGTGAAAGACAAGAGGAAGGACTAGGCAGATGACAGCATGTGCAGAAGCATGAAAGAGATGACATATTTAGGAAATACTAAGTTCTGTTTTAAAATTCAAATTGCTAACTGAAAAAATATAACTAAAGCCCTAAAATAGATACCATAGTTACAAATGTCTATACTTTTGATGACAAAAAGCTGATGATATACATATTCCATAAATTAATTTTCTTCATTTAAAAAACCATATGGAAATTTATATTTTGTTAAAAATAATGATTTGGCTTCCTAGTGAGTCCATTTCATGTATTCACTTTTCATTTTTTTAGGAAACAGACTGAAAAACATGAGCAATAGATTTGCCTTTTCATAAATTTTGCAATAAATACAATATATATTTGTATTTGCAACAAAAGACACTAGACAAACTTTTCCAAAAGTAAAGAGATATTTCTTTTGGCTAGGCGCAGTGGCTCACACCTATAATCTCAGCACTTTGGGGAGGCCAAGGTAGGCGGATCACCTGAGGTCGGAAGTTCAAGACCAGCCTGGCCAACATGGAGAAACCTCATCTCTACTAAAAACACAAAATTAGCCTGGCGTGGTAGCACATGCTTGTAATCCCAGCTACTCAGGAGGCTGAGGCAGGAGAATCGCTTGAACCAGGGAGGCAGAGGTTGTGGTGAGCCAAGATTGCACCATTGCACTCCAGCCAGGACAATAACAGTGAAACTCAGTCTAAAAAAAAAAAAAAAAAAAAAAAAAAAGATACTCTCATCAGTATCTTAAAAAAATACTTAGCATAACAACTAGTCAATGAAACATAGCGCTGTCACATGGTAAATTCCTTACCTGATAAGCACTTCTACTAAAGACCATGCTCCTTTCATGCAAGTTGGACACTGAAACAACTCTAAATAATATCTTGACATGGCTGGAGACTTCCAAGGAGGATGCAGGTGAAGAAGAGCTGACAATATATGAAAGTATCGACCAGAAAATGTATCTATGTTATCCTATTATTTAAAAATAAACAAACAAATAAAATACTATAGCTAAAATTTATTTCACTTGCTAATTCAGTCTAAAAGCAAAATGGTAACCCTGGCCTAACTTTCTTGCCAAATATGTGTTTAGACAAATGAGAGCAGATGAAGTATCATGTTTAGCTAATTAAATACAGTAATTGAGAAAGAGGCACACTCTACATACAGCTGATACCTGAACAACAAGTTTTAACTGCATGTGTCCACTTACACATGAGTATTTTCCAGTAAATGCAGCCTACCCTTCACATCCTTAGGTTCCACATCTGCAACTAAATACACATCCATAGGTTCCACATCTGCAACTAAATGCTTTTAGTTTCATGCATTTGCTTTTTATTTTTTTAGGAAATGGATTGAAAAACATGACCAATACAGATTTGCCTTTTCATAAGTTTTGCAATAAATACAATACAAATTTGTATTTGCAACAAAATACACTAGACAAACTTTTCCAAAAGTAAAAAGATACTTCTTTTTACTACTAAATACTTTTTTAAACTAAATTTTAAAGTAAATACTTTTAGTTGCAGATGTGAAACCTATCGATGTGCTAGGATTACAGGCCTGAGCCACTGCACCTAGCTTAGTAAAAAGTTTTCATTTCCTCATCTGTAAAATTAAGGTAATTCCTGTCCTTGTTGCAAGATGAGATCATGTAGTTCAAAAAGGATGGTATATATGAATATATCTTATTGGTTATTGAATTAATTATCTTCTGTTGCCTTCAGTAGTAAGGGAAAATTTTTTTCCCAGTAGTAAGGGAAAATTTTACAATTACCTCTAAAAGAAAACCCTCAAAAATAAAGTATTCATAGGATGTAAAGCCTTCGGAAGTGCGGGTTTTGAAGAACCAACTGCAGGACTTGATTATGTGCAGATTTCAGTATCTATGAAGGTACTAAAACCAATATCCTGTGATAGCAAGGGACGACTCTATCTATACACTGGTTAAACTCTTCTATTAACACTACCTTAGATGAAATCTAAGGCAGATGAAATATTTTCCTTTTCACAATTTTAGTGAGATTTAAGAGGTCTCAAACGTTACCTGAAAGGAACTAAAGGTAAGAAACTATTCATGTAATACTCTTACGTATCACCAACATAACATACCTGATAAAGTTTATGTCTGTTATGTTATCAAATTAGCACCTTCATGAAGGGCATGATTAGAAAGCTATCTTTGAATATTTGCTCCTATTGGTTTACACAGTTTGAGTATGTTCCCAGCATGGGCAACACAGCAAGACTCTATCTCTACAAAAAATTTAAAAATTAGCTAGACATGGTAGCATGCACCTATAATCCTATAGTACTTGGGAGGCTGAGGCAGGGAGATTGCTTGAGCCCAGGAGGTTGGGGCCACAGTAGGCCATGATCACACCACTGCACTCCAGCCTGAGAGACCTTGTCTTTTTTTTAAACAAAAAGTATGTTCATTATATATATTACAAAAAAATATCAATGTACTAATGGAGTAATTTATAAAACGTAACTCTAGATCACTATAATCTGAATTTTATATTTGATACTTTACTGACATAAGAAAAACTGGGTAACTTTGTTCCCCAAAACAAAATTATCTTAGAAATCCTGAAAAAATAAGCTAAAGTACTAAGGGTAGTACCTACTATTTATTAGTAAAATAAAGGAAAAAAAAACACTGAACAAAAAAATAAACTGTAAACATACAAAAATGAGAAAATGTTCACATTTAACATTCTTTGAAAAAAAGATTATAAACCCTTAAGGCTGCTCTTACCTGTAGAATGTTCTCTAGAAGGGCATGAAGAAGGCATATAGGAGGGATATAATGTGCCTGCAAAGTGGAAAGCTCCTCAATTGCTTCTTTAAAAAACTGTCCTTCTATGAGGCTTTCAATTAAATTTGATATACCTCTGGGAAATTCAGCATTTTTAACCTAAGAAAGGAAAGATTCTATGATTCAGAGAAAAGAAAAATGAAATTCTGGAATCAAATCCTGAATTAGTAAGGAGTTTGTTTATTTACAAGACAGAGTCTCACTCTGTTGCCCAGCCTGGAATGCAGTGGCATGATGTTGGCTCAATGCAACTTCTACCTCCCAGGTTCAAGCGATTCTCCTGCCTCAGCCTCCTGAGTAGCTGGGACTACAGACATGCACCACCATGCCTGACTAGTTTTTGTACTTTTAGTAGACACAGAATTTTACAGTGTTTGCCAGGTTGGTATTGAACTCCTGGCCTTAGGTGATCCGCCTGCCTTAGCCTCCCCAAAGTGCTGGTATTAAAGGTATGAGCCACTGCGCCCAGCCTAGTAAGAAGTTTTAATTTCCTCATCTGTAAAATGAAGATAATTCTTGCCCTTGCTGCTGGATGAGCTAATGTAGTTAAAAGAGGATGATATATATGAATGTATTTTATTAGTTTTTATATTATTTTCTGTTGCTTTCAGTAGTAACGGAAAATACTAACTCTAAAAGAAAACCTTTAATAAGAATTTGTAGAGTTTGGTTGCTAAAAAAGATAACTCAGAGTTACAACTACACAGATTTTTAGGTGAAAATTATTTTTTGGTTTTCTTTTAAACTTAAAAATGAACTCTGTCTATTAAAATATCTTAAAATGATACAACACCAATCACAAGCAGTATTTGTAAAAAGTGAAAACTGATTGGGAGAATCATAAAATCACTCTGAGGATGTGCATTTATATCACTCTAAGAGCTTCAGAAAATACATTCCCCTTGGTCAAACCATTCTTAATAATGCAAGTAACTACTTTGAATAATTTGAATCAAAAATATTCTAAAAGACTACCTGGAATAATTAAAAAAAAAAACAAGTTTAGAAGAATAAATAAGGAAACAAGGGCCTCAAGCCCCATTCTCTCCCTAAATTAACAATGGACTGGATATATGTGTTGTGGGTTTATTTTGTTCTGAAATGAAAGTATGTAAAATAAAGGTATCATTTTATTTAAATAACAATATAAAATAAATACACTTTTGTAAATATCATACCAAAAATTTTTAATCTAAAAGTAGTCATTATGAAAGTTAGGAAACATGAGAACAGGGATATATACTTCACATGTCATAAGCACAAGGTGTGTTTTTAACATTTGTGATCATCTTTTACTAATATATGGAAATTTTTTTGAAGTTTTGACAGAATATTTGTATCATTTCTGATTAGAGAAACTATATTTCATATGTGATAGACAGCTTTGTTGTGCATACATTACTTTTCATCAAAAAAATCACTAATAATAACAAAACACCATGCTGCTTCTTGCCCCCTACATCATCAATGCTACTGCAGGCTCCTTACCTCTATATTGTACACCAGTTGTTTATCTATTCTAATGCAGTTGTGTCTAAAAGCCTACAAAAGAGCAAACATATAATTAAAACAACATTTTAAGATTGAAAAATACATTTTAGCTTCCCAAAGCCTTGGAAAAACTTATAAAACAGATCAAGGAAGACATTAATACCTATAATTAATATGATGCTCATATTTACTCAAAACAGCAACTTTTATTATTTTAGGGTAATGGCACTCTCACAACTATGAACATTTCTCTGTTTTCTCCTTCTAAATTACAATAATAAAGTCATATTCACTCTGAAGATCTGAAGAGGTCCATAATTATTAGAAATATAAATGGGGAGAGCATTTTGCACAAGGGTACACAGGAGAAAAAAAACATCATTTATGTTTGCTATACAACCATATGTAAAATCTACCTTATTGTTTCAAAACACCTATAATTGCACAGTTAAAATATTATCCTGGAAAAATATCTGCAACCAATATAAACAAAGAGATAATACACTGAGGCTGAGAGTGGTGGCTCATGCCTGTAATCCCATCACTTTGGGATGCCGAGGTGGGCAGATCACCTGAGGTCAGGAGTTTGAGACCAGCCTGGCCAACATGGCAAAACCTCATCTCTATTAAATATACAAATATTAACCAGGTGTGGCGGCAGGTGCCTGTAATCCCAGCTACTCTGGAGGCTGAGGCAGGAGAATTGCTTGAACCTGGAAACAGAGGTTGCAGTGAGCTGAGATGGCACTACTGCACTCCAGCCTGGGCAACAGAGCAAGACCCTGTCTCAAGAAAACCAAACCAAAACAAAAAAAGATAATTCCCTAGAAGAAGGGGTCTTCAAGATGGCTGACACTCAAGAGATGTTTGGCACTCACCTCTTCCACAAAGGGCTTAAACAGTGAACAGATAATCACTCATTGAATAGGGTGTCTGAGAGAAAAACATTACAATTTAAGTGACAGGGAATCTCTGAGGCAAGCAAAGACAGAGAAGCAAAGCAGCTGGCTCATAAAAAACTGGCTGGGAGCCAGGAGAAACTACCCACTACTAATGGGAAAAAGAGAGATCTACACCGGTCCACATTCCCAGTGTGAATTCCTTCAATCCTAGACACAGGAGAGCCCCTTGTCCTCACAGGCCCAGAGACTAGTTTAGAAAGTTCCCTGGAGCCCACTCACTGGCATTATTCCAAAGACAGAGTACTCGCTAAGTCCCACAAAATCTGCTGGCACCCAAGAGGCTGCAGCATGGTGCCATTTTGAAAGCCCAGACAGTACCAGAATACATCCTGCTCTGGGGTACAACAGTTCCTGCATATCCACAAGCCAGAAGCCCCACTGATGTCCCTGTCCACCAGGAGGGCTGCAGTTTCATGAGTTCTGCTGGAGTCAACAATGCAACTAGGTCACCAGCACTCTCACCTACACAGTGTCCTATATCCTGAGTAGGAGGTGCAGTGCTGCCCTGGGGACAAAAGGAGCCAAAGCAGGAGCTCCTCAGATCCTGAGAACCACCTGCCTGGGGTCGCTGGTACAGGGTTTCTGTGTGTTTGGAACCCTGCCCAGCAGCAGTGTCATCATGCACTTGCATGTGGCTTCGGGAGGCCTGAGAACTGGCCCACTGTGGGTTGTCCCAGGGCTTAAAGATAGATCCACTCTGCCTGCCACTGGTGCCCACAAGGGCCATTTGGAAACCTGAAGACAGGCCTACCCCACCCACCACCACTGTGTAAATGCATAATACAAAGACGTGGGGATCATACTGCCTTGTCTGCTGAGGCCAGAGCCTGCAGGAACTATCAGGGGGCCCAAGGAGAGGCCTACCACACTCTGAATACTGGCACCAGCACCAGAGCCCAAGTGCACTACCAGGGGGCATGGGTATCAACCCATCCCTGTCCAACACTCCTTGTTGGACAGCACACCAACAAGAGGTCAGATAACAGGTCTACCTGGCCCAATGCAACAGCCCCCTGAACCTGTTGTCATGAGGCCTGTGAACAGACCTGCTTCACCCACCACAGCTGGTACCCACACCTATTGTCAGGTGCCTAAGAACACGTTTGCCCCACATGTAGCTTCTGGCAATGCCATCTGCACTTGTCATGCAGTTACATCAGGATCAACATACCTGATCACCAACCAGGTGCCCAAATACACCATCTAGGGGCCTACAAGAGCCCACTCTGCCAACTGCCACTGTTGTTGGGGCCCAGCACATCATCTGAGAACCTGTGGATTGACTCATTGCACCAGGAGCGCCTATGCACACAACTAGGGGGATCAAAGGATGAGCATGTCAAGCTGCTGCTGCTGGTAACCACCCACATGTGCTACCAGGCCTGCTCAGCCTATTGCCACTACTGCTGGCACCCATGTTTGCTGCTTGCGGACCTGAGGATTGGCCTGCAACCACTACAGCCATCACCAATGTCATACACACTAACCAGAAACCTGAGGACCCACCCACCCCATTGCTGTCACTGCTGGCACCCAAGCAAGCCATCAGGAGGCACAGGGATTGGCCTACCCAGACCTGCTATGACTAGTGTCCAAGTATATTGCCCAGGGACCCAAGAACCAGCATGCACAGCCTGCTGCAACCACCACTGCTGCCCAACGATGACCTGCCTGTGTCCACATCCCCAGCAATGCTTCATTATAGCCTACACTAACAAATGCAGCCTAAGCCACTGACAAACTCAAAGATAACACCATGGATGACTACAGATGAAGAAATCATATGGATACTACACTAATGTGTCCACATCTGGCAAAACTAACACTCTATCCAAGCAACACTACAGATACAACTATAGAAAAATGTCTTTCCCTATGAAAGCCAATCCACAAAATTTGAAGTGACTGTAACTACACAAGAAAGGTGAAAAAGCAAGAAAACATGGCACCTGTAAAGGAATACAATAATTCTCCAGCAACAGATTACAACAAAAAGAAAACCAATAAAATTCCTGGAAAAAAAAGATAATATAAAAAAATTTGGTGAGATACAAAAAACATAAATGAACAATACAATATAAGCAGGAAAATAATTCATGATCTCAATGAGAAATTCAACAAAAAGATAACATAGAAAAGAACCAAATAGAAATCCTGAAACTTAAGAATTCAATGAATAAAATAAAAAAATAACAGAGAGCTTCAGCAATAGACTAGATCAAGCAGAAGAAACTATTTCTAAACTTGAAGACAGGTATTCTGAAATACAGACAAAAAGAAAAAAAAAGCCTAAATGACATATGGGAAGCCATAAAGTGATGAGATATTTCAAATTTTGAGAGTTCCAGATGGAGAAGAGATGGGCAAACACATAGAAAAATCTATTTTAAAAACAATAGCTGAAAACTTCCCCAAGTCTTGTAAGAGCTATTTCCAAATAAACTCAATCCTCAAAGGTCTCCAAGGCACATTATACTCAACTTATCAAAAGTCAAAGACAAAGAAAGACTTCCAAAAACATCAAGAGAAAAAGCATAAAGCCATATATAAGGAAATCCCAATTAGGGTGACAACAGATTTCTCAGAAGAAATCTTATAAGCCAGGAAAGAATAAGATGACATATTCATAGTGTTCAAAGGAAAACAACAACAACAAAACCCAATTCAACAGGCAAGAAGACTATACCCAAAAAAGCTATCCTTCAAAAATAATAGAGAAATAGTCTTTCCTGGACAAGCAAAAACTGAGACAATTTATTACCAACAGACCTCACTAGAAATGTTTATACAAGTCCTACAACTAGAAGCAAAAGAATGATATCCACCATCACCGAAACACAAGAAAGTATAAAATTCACTGTAGAGCAAATATACAAATGAGAAAAGAGCCAAATGTTACCAATACAAAAAAACAAAACAAACAGAAAAACCCACCCAAGTGTAATGATAAACAAAAAAGAAACGAATAAAAGACATACAACTAACAAAATGACAGGAGTAAGTCTTCATCCATAATAACAACCTTTAATGTAGATGGATTAAATTCTCCACTTAAAAGATACAGACTGGCTACACATATAAAAAAAGCAGTGTGTTACGTATAAAAAACTCTCTCCACCTGCTAAACACATAGAGACTGAAACTGAAGAAGAATGGAAAAAGATACTCCATAAGAATGAAAACCAAAGTGGGCAACAGTAGCTATACCTACATCAGAAAAAAACACTTTTGAGTTAAAAACTGTAAATTAAAAAAAAAAGGGGCTATTAAATACTGATAAAAAGATCAATTCCACAAAAGGATATAACAATTCTAAACACCTATCTACCCAACTTGGAGCACCCAGTTATATAAGGAAAATATAATTGGATCTAAAGAGAGACAGAGACTCAATACACTAATAGTTGGGACATTAATACCCCATTCTAAGCATTGGACACATTATCAAAACAGAAAATCAAAAACAAACATTGGATTTAAACTGTACTTTAGAATCAATGAACCTAACAGACAGTTAGAAAATATTTTATCTAATAGCTGCAGAATACAAATTCTTCTCATCAGTATATGGGACATAATTCAAGGTAGACATTAGGCCACAGAACAAGTCTCAACAAATTTGAAAAGATCTGAAGTCACTACTCAAACAATGAAATAAAACTAAATATCAATAAAAGAAACTTTGGAAACTGTACAAATACATGTAAATAAATTAACATGCTCCTAAACGACCATTGGGTCAATGACATAATTGAGAAGGAAATAAAACATTTCTTATAACAAATAAAAATTGGCGCACTTCCACTAAGATGGCTCAATAGGAACAGCTCCAGTCTGCAGTTCCCAGTGAGAGTGAGCCTGAAGGTGAGGGATCTTCACATTTCCAACTGAGGTACCAGGTTCATCTCATTGGGACTGGTTAGACAGTGGGTGTAGCTCAAGGAGGGCAAGCCAAAGCAGGGTGGGGTGTTGCCTCACCTGGGAAGTGCAAGGGGCCAGAGAACTCCCTCTCCTAGCCAATGGAAGCCATTAGGGACTTTCTAGACACTCCGGCACTCTGGCTCAGATACTGTGCTTTTCCTAGTCTTC